TGGGAAAGGCTGCTTCCACTCTTGTATGTGTGTCACCGTGTTGAAAAAATTTACTTTAGTGGCTTTTTTTGGTCCCCTGCAACAATGGGTCAGTGGATGCTTCTGCTATTTAGCTGAATTAAATATGATTAAACATGCAACAGGTCTTCTGAGAGCACTTTAATGGCTCTGTGGACTATTATTTCTAACCGCAGGAGCAACAGCACCCTGAGGGTCCAAACTGAGGTTTTCTAGTTGCTGACTGGAAGCAGTAGAGCTGTTGATTTAAATTCAATATATACTACTTTTTTCTTTGGGCATTTTTTAAATTTTTTTGTCCACAGCAGGACATTGTTCAGCTTCTGTGCCGGTGCTCATATCTTCTCCAAACTGGCAGCGCGCTGATCCCAAGCTACGTCAAATAACCTGAACTATCTCTTCAATATCTGACATGTGTATTCATTTTTTTTCTTGTAATGTCCATCACATACTTCAAGCTAACTGTGTGATGATCCAAACACCCCAGGAAGAATTCACTGTCTGCAGCGTCTCTCTGTTTGTTCACAAAGCTGCTATAAGAAGATCCAACACTCTCCATATGGGAGGGATCTCTCGGGGACACGCAAGGAGCGCAATACGAGCTGCAGGAACAAATGCACACTTGTGCACATGCTTTGCTGTGATGGATTTTATACGCAAATGAAAGTACGCGCACACCCGAAGTGAAAAGGGGCCTGTCAGTGCTTGCTGCCTGACACTGTACAAGGGAAAGTCCTGGAGAGGCTCAGTCTGCGTCAAGCTCTCGTACAGGAAGAAGAGCACAAGATGTGGAGGCGAGAAACACTTCCTCTGCAGAGCTCCACATCAAAGGCATCAAAACCACTTCTGGTTGCTCTAATAACACGCTGCTGTTTCAGTGTGCGTCAAAAAAGATTTTATTTTTTCTTATTTGTATCACTGTAGATTTTTACTCACTGTGTCAGAGTCCAAACGATAGAAAAAACGAGGTCTTTGACTCATGATTGAAAAATGAATTACATAGTGATGTTATGTCTCATTGGGAAGCAGTGACATAGGTGCTGTTTAAAACTGAGCTGTATGCATGCACATATTCGTCTATGAATATGTGAAGAATAACAGACCTGCAGATTAAAGTTATAACACAATAAAGCTATAATAGTAAAAAAGGGAAAAACAAGACAGGAAATGTGGGGGGAGAGACAGCCAGGTGTACGGCAGGCAACACAGTAAGCTCTGCTGGCAATCAAACTGTTTGGTTATGTGGTATGTGTCTTAACCGTCAGGCTACAGGATGACCTCAAGCTCCATTGTTGAGACTATTCATTGCCAGTGTTTTTCCTTCAGTCACAATTTCACGTGTCAACATTCAGTCATTACCTCTCGACATATACATTTTTTTTTTACTGTTGCCTTCATAAATACGATGCATTCACAGGAAACAATGTATGTGCGTAATCCTGCGTGAGTTTATCTAATCAATAACAGCCTCAGTTCTGTTATTAACTCTATTCATGGTGTAAACTGAACTTTGCCTCCTGCTGCAGCTTTAAATTAAAAATGTTCAACTGGCCAGCTAAGGCTTTTATTGTGAAGCAGCCACAGGAAACTAAATTATATTTCTAAAAATAAAAACAAGATATAAATTCATTTTTCTTTCGGTAACTCTACTAACAATAGTGTGTGGAAACAACAAGGTGAACGGGGTGAGATTAATACTACAGGGTATAAAGTAAATCACCACAGCACCAAAAGTAATAATTGTAATTCTACTTTCAATTATGCTGCCGTGTAATTTACATTAGACTGCAGGGTGCTGAGCGTCAGGATTCATGCTGGAGTTTGAACGTGTGTGTGAGCAGACAGCATCTCTCAGCAACTTATTAGCACGGAGCAGGTTTGTGTGTAATGTTTGTACTTTATTAGTATTGATCTGTACACTGGTGGAAGTAAACAGCCCTTTTCAGAGCATAATGGAGACCACAGACTCTGCTCTAAATCCAAGAGAGGCCCCTGAGATGTTTTCAGAATTGAAATGGTGATTGTATGCAGATTAGACGTTTCAGATTCTGCAGGAAAATGAATCCACCTCGACTCTAAGTTGCTCTGGACAAATAAGAACACAGGCTAAGATGTCGAAGATGAAAAGCGCAGGGACCAATGAAATCACGAGGTAAGCAGGGCGCCTGAAATCCCCAGCGGAAATCCTATCCTCGCCAACCTCTCTTTGTTGACATTGAGGCCTTGGATATCATCTTTCACTGTGAATAGCAAAACAGAGATGCGAGCGGATCGATGGCTGAAAGAGACAAAGGTGAAGATGCCCTGAGCTGTGAACGCACAGGGTCTCTGTTTACTGAAAACCAGCCAGCAGCACCACAGAGACAGGATGCAACAAATCACTGAGTGTGGCTGAGATTGAAGGGAAGCTCTAAACACTCGCGAAGGGCGGACAAATATCTGACGGAGGGAACGAAATGGAGAAAGAGAGGCGAGAGATAGTTAGATGGCTGTAAATAACCCCCTGACCATTCATTAGATTCGTCTCTATCTGTCTGGGTGGTTGTGAGTGTGTAGGAGGAGATTACATTTCTATGCCCACAGATGAAACACCGCTGCGGAGGTTGATTAGCCACATCAGTGAAACACGGCAAGACAAGGAAGGCGTCACAGTCCCATCTGCCTCCTGCTAAGTAGCGACCAGATTGACTTGTTTTGATCCAATGAGGGAGCTTCTGTGCCTGTTGTTCTTGGTTAAATTGCAGCGGCGCACGTTGCATCAAATAAAAGCGGCGGCGTGTTGACACCATTCCTCATTCCTCAAACCGCCAATGCAGTTTTTTTTTTTAACGACGCACACGATGGGAGCGAGACTGTGGAGCGAAAAGAGAGCGGGCCACATTTTTGTGTGATGACTGACCGCAAGTAAGAAGCAGTGTTCCACAATGTGTGCGCAGCTGTTGGTTCACAACAGCAGCAGTAAGTGGCAGAAGAGAAGCTGATCTTATTGTAGCTGCTACATTGATCTCACGTCAACATGAGGCTCAGCGTGAAGAGACTATGATCTGAAGCCTGCGATGAAGTCTGAGCATATCTAATGCATGTTTTCAAACAGGTTTTGATTTGTACAAGCTGTCATTTTGGCATCATTGTATGGAAATGTTTTGGGTTTTTTTTTTTTCTTCAAAATAGCCTCAACTATATTTGTGCATTGAGGGACGGTCAGTTTCTATCATGTCCACTTACTTTAGAAAGGTATCCAAGCAAAAAGAACGGGTTCATCACTGTTAGTTATTCCTAATATTTAATAATATATAACAGTAGTGGATGGAAACGTGCATTGATCTGCATTTTCTTTTGCCGGTTTTCTGAAAATTTGTGCTAATTCTGGATGAAAAAATTATTATGTGGCCACCGTCAACCCATCCTCGACTCCCAGGCCAGACAGAATAAAGTCCGGGAATGAACTGTGAATACTAACAAGACCCAGACTTGGTCCCTGACATGCCAGAGTCCTTGGCTAAGAAAATTTATACAATCGAGGTGGAAACAACACAGTCCCAGGGCTGCTGCTCAGCTCCATCTTGATAGCAGCCGCTCTGAAAGGCAGGCGTGTTCCCCTCACTGTCCAGATTCTTATCTCTGTAATTGCCTTCCAGTCAAGGAGGAGCACTAGCGGAGCTGGCAACGGCGCTGCCTGCCACCCACTCCACGACAGGAGACATGCTCCAATGGAGACTCTGGAGTGCTGGGGCCTTTAGTTCATTGCCAAGAGAGATGTGGGCGCCGCTTTGTCAGCTTGACCTGCGTTCAGGATCCAAATGTCGTCTCTGAAGGTACAGGAGGATGTTTAAAGCGAAAGGGGAGCTGCAGGTTTATTGGCGTGTCACGGGTCCGGGTGCCATCGCTCCAGAGCGCAGCAGCTCAAGCCAAGAGTGAGATTAGTGTCTCATCTGTAGTGTCCACAATGGGCAGATTGAGAGCACACATTTACTCCACCATCTCTTTACCTGCAGGAACTGAGCTGCCAGAATTACTGTCCGTTTTTAAAGATTTTATCTATAACTAATTTAATTATTCCATCTTTCCATTATTGTTTCATTCTTATGGAGCTTTATTTTGCAATTCCTAGTATTTTAAATGCTCACAATAAGGGCTCAACTTATCAGCTGGTTTATAAATGTCTGTAAACAGTACAAAACAATATTCATAAGGAAATATTCATAGCTAACTTATTGACATTCAAGTCAAGGAGAAAAAGCTGCAAAGGCAGTGACAGCATTTGCTAAAAGATGGCAGCACAGCAGCTGACATAAGGATTAGATCCATTCAAATGTGACTTTGTACGAGTCGATCAGCCTAATCCATTTCTGCATATATTGCTTCGGAGCACAGACTCCACATTCCGACTGTTTAATGCTGCGCAAACAACTGAGAGCAGGTCCCACCAGGATCCCGGAAAAACCAACACCTCGCTCTCTCAACTGAGCTGAATCCATCATCTGAAAGCTGGCAGGAAAATCAATGAAAACTAATAAAAGGGTCATGCAGCGTGAACAGAGGCCTTATTTGAATTATGTCCAAGGATGCAGTCTGGTCCTATAAAGTGCCTGGTGTGCACTGTGCAACACTGGCAGACTTTAGTTTGCTGTGTATGCCTCAGGAATGTTTTTTTCTCTGTGGGAATTTTGAATTAAAAAAAAGGCTCAATCAGCTTATCCTCACTTTTTTTAATTGGTCTCAACTACTATATGTTGCATCGTGAACTTTTATGGAAAAAGAAAGTGCAGAAAAAACCTGCCCGTACATGAGTCACAGTTCCTAAGAATAATAAACGTTCTCAAAGAGAGACAGCACTTCTGTCCCTCCTCTCTTTTCTCTCTGCCTTTATCAAAGATTCATACAAATCTAGACTGAGCTTTTCCTTCTGTTATTACCTCACTGCAGGATGCACTCAAACTCAAAACTCTTTAGCAGCAAAAACAGAAAAATGCCACACATACCTGCCACGTTCACTTTCTCTGCGTTTGTGGCGCTGGGTGTTGCCGTGCTGGTGCCGTTGGTCAGGTTTCCCCCCGTACCGTTGTAGATGTTCTCCACCTTCGACTCCAGCTTGCCCAGCCTCAGCATGATGTTATCCAGCAGCACCGCAAGGGTCTTCTTCAAGTCTGGCGAATCAGAATGTGAACAGGTCAGTGAGGCACATGGTAATGTTCTTGATAAGAGAAGTGGCAGTGTTTCAGCATCTGAAGTGCTTTTATTTTGAAAAACAAAAAAAATCAGAAATTATGTGGTTTGAATTCTCCTCTTTGAAATTTTACAATCGAGTGGCGGTTGATTTCAGGGGCTTTTCAGGCTTCACTATTCAGAAAAATCCAACTGTCTGATTTTCAACAAAACTGTATTCAACTTTACTCAAATTCACAAAGACAAATGTGAGTCAAAAAGGTCCGGTTGCATCCACGCTACCAAGGATACCTGCGCATTTGGTGTGACTGCTTCCATTCAGACTCGATTGCTTATCGTCGGTAGGAGAAGGGATCCAGTTCTGTCATTATCACCGGGCTTATCCTTCCAGTGAATACATGCATGTAAATTAAGCTGCTGCCTGTAGTCTGGGGACTCTTGGCTCAACTATGTTTGAAAATGTACGACCAGTGAGGCTCCGTCTCCCTCCACAGCAAGCCGCTGGACTTCAGGCAGCTAGCTTGAAGCTTATTTAAATGTAAAACCACGGCGCCACGGCGTCTTTGTAAGTGACCTTGCTGTTTAATTTGAGCCTTTGCATTTCTGTGGGCATCTGCACAGGACACAGCTAATGACAGAATGGGGAGGAGGGGTGGGATTTCTTGGCCTTATTTATTGCAGTGTGTGTCTGATACAGTAACCTGCAGCAACTGCAATGACATTTACAGGGAAATGTGAAGTCGTTTCCAGCTGCTGTGCCTTGTACATACAGTACAACATGTTGACAGCACATGCTATTTGTCTACATCACAGAAGTCATCAAACCCATATATTATTTATGCATATTGCATGTGCGCAGAGCCTCGCTTTCCTCGGATGATGATAATTGCAGCTTGTCTATCACATACAAGCGCCACATTTACCCTCAGCGCGATGCATTTGACACGCCAGTTTTCATCACGTCAGAGAGATTGGCAAGGGTGCAACGAGGCCTGGCAGAGCGCACCGGCCCGATCTGAGCGAAGACAAACGCCAGAGCATTTGTCTGATTTGGACGAGCTGTGTGCGCTGGGAGAAGCCGATGCACAGAAAGCAGCACAGTCAGGCCGGGAGGAAGCCAAACAGAAAGCTCTGGAGCCGCGGCCCTGCCAAGTTATCAGAACGGACATAATTGGGAGAGAAGGGGTGAGTCCAGGTCTGGTGCTCCCCTCTGTTCACCTCAGGAACATAAACCTGATCCCATGGACTCCAAGCTGCACTTCAGATTCACCAGGCTTGTTTAGTATCCTAGCTCGCACTTCTTCTTCTTCTTCTATGTACAACTGAGTTATGTAAGAAACAGTTTAAAAAGGAGAACGCAGATAGTGTAAAAATCTACACATTTGAGCAATTAGCAAAATGATTTATTTTCAAAAGCAAAATCTACCGATCTTGTGTGAAAGGAAAATAAAGATTGGATCTGCCTCTTTTTATGATAAAAGTGATAACAACATTTAGCCTGAAATGACATCGTCTTTAGACACAGCGTCTTTCCTCCATACAATAAGCCAACAAACCCTGATCAGTCTGCGATCTTGACTAATCTTGTTTTCACATAAACTTGTGAAATGTCATAATTCGCAGCCCTAAAGTCAAAGTCCACATCAAGCCAAGCACAGTCCAAATGAAGAGTGTGGTCGATTCCTGTTTGAAAATTTGCTATTTCGCAAGTGGCTCTGATGTCTCAGTGATTATAAATCTACATTAGAGTGAAGATATCAGTTGTCAACTGTCAACACACCTGAAAACTCTTGGTGGACCTTGGAGCTGAGATTATTTTGTCACACAAGGTGTACAGTTGTGTTGAAGTGTAATCACCAGAGCCAGGTTAAGACAGTGATGTCAGCAAGAAAAACACTTCCAAGAGAAGTCTAGATTCAACAACAGCGTGACTCTGACAGCAAAGTTTCACAGTAATGACATGTGAGGTTTTGAGTCAGAGACCTTCATTAGCCAGTGTGTTAGGAAAGCATCCACGGTGCTATGAATAATACTTGTCCTCCTGTTCGCTAACACTGCTGCCGGGTAACCAGATGAGTAATAGCTAACCTAGGGACACATTTCTGCCTGTCCCAATATTTCTTAACAAGGTGATGCAGTTGCAAAACAAAACCTGCAGCAGTAAACACTTTGAACTTCAATTTGCTTTTAAGAATACTGTCAAATAAGGTAATTATCCAGGAGCACAGTCACCTGTGATTTTTCATTAAGCCCATGTGCATTAAAAAGGAGTGATTACACTGGAACATTAGCCAGAGGTGTTCATCAGTGATCCCTATTGTTTACCGTCACCCATGAAGCAAGTCTAAACCGAGCCTGCCAGCGGTCTCCATGTCTGTCCAATGTAATATCACAAAGAGGAGACAGGAGCGGAAGGAGCGCATAATGACCTTCCACACCGGAGAGGACAGAGGGGAGCAATACAAGCTCGGCCCACACCCAGTCCTCCTGACTTCTGACACTGGCCCCGCGGAGCTGCTTGCACGCTACGTGTCCACGCCAACAAGGATATCCACATTAGCTGCTGAACTGTAACAGGATACAGTGTCAGGTGGCTTGTTACACCCGGCTGCACAGATCAGTTTCAGGACGTGTCGAAAGGAAGAGGATCACATCCTTTCCACATCTCACTTCACTGTGGAGGAGGAAGATGACAGCTCCCCAGACCAGGCTTCAGGTGGATAGATGTTTCTGATGCAAATGTGGCACCGATGGGACGACACCTGGAATCTACAGGATGCTGCAGAGTGCTGCTCTTTCTTGGACAATTAAGTTGTCAAAAAACAGTACCAACATTTACTCATTTGCGAACATGATGAAAGCATTTGACTGAGACTGCGAGACGAGTTGTGGTGTCTGTAATATGTAATGTTTTTCAGTTTTTTTTAGCTCCAAAAAACATCTTGATGTGGAGACGTGCTGTCAAGAAGAAGAGATTGGGTTCAGATGGAGGCTAAACAGGAAAATACTATCTGTAAACACGAGTCAGGACTGGACTGACATAGATCTTAATTTGAGCTTTCTTAAAGTATATTTAGATCAGCTCAGTTCAATTATTGGCACTAGGTTTGCATAATATAATGTAAATTAATCAGGCCTTTTCATACAAACATGTATCCAGTCAAAAGTGGAGGCTGCATCACTGAAATCTTGAAGAAAATAATCTAAATATATCCATTCCTGGCTGTGCATAAACAGGCAGAGCACCAGCTGCTCAGACACACTGGTTTCATTTTTTCCAACAGGTGTGTTTCTTACAATCAGTCCAACCAATAACTCAGTGCTCCAAACAGGCTTTCAGAGAGATACAATATTAAATTCACATGCATTAAGATTTTATGGGTCATTTATGAGCAGCAAAGGAAACCCTGTTTCCCCTACCTCATTACAAATCATATCAAGGCAAATCATCGACCATCGAGTCAACACAGGAAGCAAACAGTATCTTGCAGCCTCCCTCTCCAATCAAGGACGTGAAATGGATTCTGATGTGATATTGGACGGCGGTCAGCAGACTGCTGCAGCTCCGACAGCGCCGTGAAAATCAATCCATCATACAAGGGGAACAAAGCAAACTGGACAGGACCTTGTTCCCTGGAAACTCTGGTTGATATTACAGGAAAGTCTATGGACTGGGCCTGTATCACATCACCCAAATTAATCATATGATTTACAGAAGGATAACTAATAATATGCATAGTTTCTTACCTCACTAATACTATTTATTCTTTATCCTGTGTTTTTAATAACAGGTCATATTGAATTACACATTACTAATTACTTGATTTAATGAGCTATTTGTAAGTTTTGCTACATAGCTAATGTTAGCAGCTGTTTCCTTTGCAGCCACTGTTGCATGCACTACTTCTTCAGGACAGACCAGACACTACAGTGGCTGGGTATCTGGAAATGATGGAGCTAGCTGGTTAGCATGCTAGCTTCAGCAGACGAAAAGAAGTGATAGAAATAGAAGCAAAACAAGAGGGTTGCTTTCCACCTCTGGAGACAGCTGTTGGTGAGTAAAGGACTGACATTTGATGCTGTGTTTCTTCTAGACTGGTAAGTAAACAGCTGTTAATGCTATCGCTGGCTATGTAGCGATAGCAAAACTTACAAATAGTTCCCTTTAAATATGTCAGATGTTGAGGTTTGCTTTTCCATGTGCAGCTCAGACAATTACTGTTGCGGTAAATAGAAAAAGTACAGCCTACTGTTTGTTTTGGAATGGAGGTACTTTACATAGTGGGCTGACATTTTCCACGTTTGCATGTACATAAACACGAACAGTGCTGCTACAGAGGAAAGACACGCAAACTTAAGCTTGGAACTCTATGACAGCACCGCGCTGCTTTTGTCGCATACTCCAGCTGCTTCTTTACATTATCTGGGAGCTGATTTAATCTCCAAGAGCTTTACTGTATCCTGTTGTTTCTCTGGGCATTAGCAAACAATCAATTGCAATCTCAGGTTTCTAATGAAGCCTCCCATCGAGCCATACAGGTCTATTAATGGCATGAATAACTTATTGAAGGATCTTCTGGATCTGTGCTATTACAGTATTATGCTCCAATGCAGCTGGCTCAGAGTTAAATCTCCCCGACAACCTTTCCTGAATATAGACAATGCTGTGCCCTCTCAAGAGGTAAACAAGTGGAACCACTAAATCCAATTTAAAGATGTAAAGAGGGAAGGAAAGCAAAGAACAACCCCACATCATAACTCTGTTAAAAGGTGCTTCTTTGGTTATTATGGCTCATGCAATATCAATTAATACATCAATTAATACATCAATTTTGCTATGATCAGGCTAATATGATCATTCTGGGAAAGAACCCTATACAGTCCACAGTGTAGGTGACACTTTGAGCCTCACTGTGCTAAAAGAACAAAAAGGTGTCTCTGGAGAAGCACATCACAGATCCAGGTCAGGCTGGAAAAAAACTGTATGAAGATATGGCATGAAAATACTTTGCTTTCAGCTATGTCAGTCACTGAGCAATGAACCCTGAATTTTCTCCAGTGGAAGTAGGAGATTGGTTCTGCTGGATAGCTTTTCAGTACGACTGCATAATGCAGCTTGGTCTTGCTGAAAAGTAAACATGGCCACAAAACATCCAGAAGCTGAGGTAAAAGGACCGGTCCTGTTCCCTGAAAACACCATGTCAGTTAGGTTACATGAGCTACTCACCATAAGCAGTCATGGTACCGACATAGGGCCCGTCCATGACACTCTGGTTCTCCTCGGCCAGCGCTTTGATGTAGCGCTTGCTGAGGTCCAGGATCTGCTGCCGCAGCACAGCGCTGTTTTCGTGGCTGGCTCGCTGCTGGATGGTGAAATGCAGCAGCATCATGCCCCAGATGAACCCAAAGCTGACCAGGAAGAAGCCCAGCTTTTGGGATGACAGCTTCCACAGGAAGGGTGTAGCCATGCTGACTCGACGGGGAGTTGCTGGGGCTGCTGTGACTCTGATTGAACCGAGGGAAGGTGCAAAGGTCAGGAAGGAGAATCAGGAGGGCAGGCGGGGCATGGCTGTGTCAGTTGGTGTATTTGCGGTGGTTGTTTCTCCTCACCAGCGTAACTTCCTTCTCTGACCCATCCTCATCGCTCAGTAGCATCTCAGGGGACTGAGTCTGACCTGTTGCATCCTGCTGCACAGAAGATACACAGAGAGGAGAGAGAGAGACGAGAGGTTATTTGGTTCGTCTGATAACCAAAGATAATGAGGGAGTTCCCTCTCCCAACCCAGGCCCACATGTACACAGTATAATTAAACCACTGATAACTGCAGTGAGTCAGCACTAAAATGCCCATTTTAGGTTCTGAGAGCTAAAACATAACATTTTTATGTGGTTTGTTTTGTCCAAAACCCCAAAATATTCAGTTTACAATGACAAAAATGTAGAGCAGAAAATACACATATGGGAGAAGCTGAAACAGGGAAATATTTGGAATTTTTTCTTAATAAATGACTTAAGTTACTTGATTATCAAAATTAATTTCCTCAGTCGACTAATCAATAAATCAATTAACCGTTACAGCACTTAAAAGTGAATCCGTCTATATGAAACCCTTCTTTGAGGCAGAGACATAGCAGTGACATTGTCCCGCTGTCTAAAATAATGTTTCTCTGAGGTCGGATTGTGATTCAACAGGGCACCAATGGATTTCCAAAGAGTAAGAGAGAAACAACCTCACGGCCCATCCGATCAGGTTGCCAAAAAGGAGGTGTTTGGAAATGAGCACAGAGCAGGCCTCATGCCTGTTACTTTAAGCACCGCAGGCGGTTTTATAACCGCAGCACACCACATAGCACAGAGGCACACTGTATCCCAACTGGAGGTCATTGTGTGTGGAAGCTCCTACGGTATGTACGCAGACTGGTGACACAGCATTTGACTGGATGGGAAGGGAGGCTTACTGTGCGCTGTGACTTCTCCTCACCTTCTTAATGTCAGTGATATATAAAGTTTGATTCTTTTAAACATGGTAAATAATATTAAAAACTGTACCACAAGGCCGAGTCCAGCTAAAATCTCTTTCAAAAGGAGGATTAACTTGCGTTGGGGATGGCAGTATTGACTATATGACGGGATAGCAATGCAGGCTTTAAGCAGAAATACTTGTGACTACTTCCTCAAACAAGATAATATAAAATTCTCCTCTTGCTTCTTGAAAGAGAAGCTACACAGACAGAGTCTCACCCAGACAGCGTGACGTTTATGACTGATGGAGCTGTATGTATTTACGCAAGAAGGTTTATAGTTCCCTCAAAATATAAACATTAGAATCGCCTACAATCTATCTTCCCCACTGACAAGCAAGAACGCAAACATTTTAAATATACTGACACTTTGTTTTTTTTTAAATCAAATTCTCAACAGGCCTTTCTGCTGTATGAATGAAGAAGCTCTCCCACACTTAGACTGTGTGTGTGTGTGTGTGTGTGTGTGTGTGTGTGTGTGTGTGTGTGTGTGTGTGTGTGTGTGTGTGTGTGTTTGTGGTTCAGCATCAGATCTAATGTATGTCTGAGAAGTAAAGGTCAAAGGATTATCCATGTACTCTTAGAAAAAGGGAAAACATCTGTAGGAGGCAAAAGGTCAGACAAGATTTGAGTCACTTGTTCACCGGAGGAAATCTGTACCTCAAATAAAACTGTGGTTACAACCTATCAATCATTTAGTCTACTGATTGTCAGAAAAGAGTGGAAAGGGGCCCAACAAACAGTCCAAAACTCAAAAATGTTCAGTTCTTTCATATTAGTTTAGAAGCTGGGACTAATTGAAATGATTCAACTTCATTATCAAATCTACTGACAGCACCAACTGTGAACCACAACATCACTCCCTATCTCTCCATCCACTCATTTCCTCTCATACCTCTATTATCAGCCATCTAATGAAGGTATTAAATGCCCCCTCAAAGAGACAAAAGAAAAAAATAGAGACGGTTACCTCTGATTAAATGTTCCAGCACTAACTAAAACAGACGTTGATCTCCGTGAAGAACCGGTCATGTGCTTGCGTGGGTTGAAAATTACCCCCAACAGCTTGATTTGGGCAAGTTGCTCTTTAGGGTGGCTGAAGTTACACTGAAATCAGCCATTGTTCTCCGTGTGTCATTATAGCATCAGGAAAAGCCAGTTCCAGTTACATTAACACATGCAATCACACAGAAGGTGCACCCAGCTGATCCATGATCAGTGGAACCAGGCTGATGTGTGCCGGTGACAGAAAATAATAAAACGTCTGTCTCCCTTGTGGACGATAAACGTGATTCATCCACATGTTTGTCTCAGTTTAGATGCTAAAGAGCATAAACTTCTTCTTCTTCTTCTTACATTGTGGACAGTTACCAAACAGCTGCACCTTCTGACAGATTGTGCACACTAAAAAACAAGATGGTGACCTCACGATCCTGTCACACCACACCGTTGAAATCCACATTGTCTGAAGAAAATCTTAAAGCCTTTGAGGCTGCCGTTACCTACGTATTGTTTGTCGTAGACACACACTTGTAGCAACAGAAAACAGCATCTGCGTCCGTCCTACAATGCCAGCTCTCCTTTTTTACACAATCAATCCGGTTCTGTGACTACCTCCCCTACCAGCTTAATTCCAGGGAAATAAACAACCCCCCTCGATTCCATGTTTATACCTTGTAAACAGAGCGTTAAGGTGGAATAACGGCACAACATTTTGGCCTTGAAGTGTAAAAAGGGCCTTGACACATTTCCAGGTTTTCGCTGGTTTATGCAGCAGGATTCTGCACTGTAAAGCCCGGTCTGGACAAAACACAGCAGAGCACAGCGATGAAAGGATCAGATTTTGATCTGCGGTGATATCAATTGATAAAATCTACCCTGATCAGCCGTGGAAGAGGATATCTCGAATGCTTGTCAAACAAATATCACATTTCTAGTCATTAGGCCTGTCCCCGTTCTCACACAGTGTGAACAGCTTCACAGAACTGTGAGGAAAAACTCCAGCAAGCTAAATAATGTAGACATTAAACTGTGATATGCTGTTTTCATGCTTGCTGTCTTTATTGCTGATTGAACACAGCCATCCCAGTAACGGCACAATTTGCCATCAAACTTTTGCCCATAATGCAAAATGAGGCAGCCTGGCAGCACTAGTGAAGCTGTTAAATAGTTCAACAAGTCTTAACTGACCTCCAGGCAATCTATATACACAGCTAAGTAATTGCCCCTAGCTTTAGGCAGGGAGGAACAAAAAAAAAAAAGAAAATAAACTTTCCAGCACGCAATCAAGTCAAAAGAAAATAGATGTTAGATGTTCTCTCATCTGCATTCAACCGCTGTAGCAGTAAATGATCCTAAGTGTGGGGAAGGGAGTTCTGCAACCTTGCTTTTGAAGTGCAGCTTTCACCAGGTCAGCCCCACAATATACACTTGACTCAGACAACTAAAAATTCTCTCACCTGTCCGTGTTTTATACATGGACTATTCTTTACTGTATCTAAAGCAGAGCAAACACGGTTATATCAGCACAAAATCATCAGCACCTTTTCCAAGAAACACAAAAGGCCGTCACACAAAAGCCTCTTTTCACCTTACATCCATCGGCTTCATAAATAGGTCAGAGACAGCTGCACGCAGCTTCCAGCAGGGCTGGAATCTCACAGCAGGTTATGACACACCATAATTGTTCAGTGATTTAAGACGAAGGCTCCTGTTTGTTTTTCTGTGTGGACATTTTGACAAAGCAGATAAATACTATATCGTCCGAAAAGAAGGAGAAATGCAATTTTTTTTTTTTTTTTTAAACTTAACATTTAACTCTAATTTGCTTTGTGGTGTGTGCAAAACAAGCCTTTCTGTAGAAAACAAAATCTCCGCACCGCACTGTGAATTCATGAGACAAGCCCTTGGCAGTGGCGCTGTGCAATCTGCAGTGCTGATAACATCGGATGTCTCTCGTTGCTCAGGACTCTGTTGGAGGAGGGCAGGAAAAGGCTGGCAGCGCTCACTGGTTGGGCGCCGACAAGGATGGGAGGCTTTGGGGCTGTTTATCAGAGAGGAACGCTGCTCAGTCTACCCCGTGGTACATTGCTGTAAGAAGCGCGAGCCAAAACCCACACTGAACACTGACTGAACCGTTTCTGAATACACACACTCCCAGTCGGAGCTGGCTCTCTTGTCTGGCCTGATTTCTTGTGTCTATCGATCTTATTTAAAGACAGAAACTGATCACGCATCATCACTCCTTTGTTAGGTAGCTTTCCAATCACAGGCCCTGTCTTATAATCTGCAGGGAAAGCAACACACATATACACACACACACACACACACACACACACACACACACACACATACAACAGCACATACATCTCCTCTCAGTTACCTTCTGGTTTCTAATTCAGGGCTGTAATTTGTCTGGCAGGGAGCCCTCTGGCTCTCAGCAGCAACAGCCCGGTGAAACTCTACGTGTTGACAGCCAGCTAAGGTTGCAGAATATACTACCCTTCGCAACTTGAGATGATAACGTAACAACCTGCTGAATGGTTTTTTCATTGTTGGAAGAAGTAGGACATAAAACCCTGCAGGTTCAGGGAGACGGTGAAGACAGAAACAATTGAATCATCTCCCACCATCCTGGGAGGAATCGCTGTCCTCCCAAATCTGCTACAAAGAGCTTCTTCCTGTTGGGGACAGCAGAGCAGTTTATGGTCATCGACCACACTGTAGCACCGACTTAAAAGGAGGGGGGTCTGCTCTACTCGCCAAACCAGGAAATAACAGAAATTTTTATTTTGAAAGATGGACGTGATAACTATAATCGTAGTGTTTTTATCTGACAAAAAAAAAAAAACAACACACATCTGAAAAAACAAGAGTAAAACAAAGAAGAAAGTGATGTTTATTTTCTTTGTGGTGCTCTGAAATTACAGATTTGGTTTTAACAGGTTCCCTAGGTCCTGTTTCACAGCCTTCACACTGTGTTCCTAATGAACACAGTTTGTTTTTAATTGTTGCACTGGTGACCTTTGTGTTGAAGCACAGCACAGAGCCTTCACTCTACCAGATCCGAGAGGAACTCTGGGTAAACTCTTTAATGTTAAAACCCATCTAAATTAAGTGCAAATATAAAAACAAAAATAACAGCTAAATCTGGTGCGGCTGATTGCT